CCCCTTATATTAATGGTCAGTGAAGAAGTGTCCATTTTATAAGTAGTCTAAGGAGAAATATAGCCTTACGTTGGTGGTCTCAGAGAATTACTCCCTTACATAGGTGATCCGTGGAGAAATGCCCCCTGACATTGGTGGTTATGACAGCATGTAGCTGCTGCGGAGGAGGCTGGGCCCAGCGTCGGCAGAGAAGGAGGAGGCAGGGCCCATTGATGGAGGAGGCGGGGAATGGTGATGGAGTAGGCGGGGCCCGTCAGCAACCGTGAAGATGGAGGAGGCGGACAGTGGATCAGGGCTGACAGGTAAGAGGGTTTGACCAGCCCACCTGAGACCCTGCAGAGCCCACCATAGATAGTCTATGGTGGGCTCTGCAGGAATGGTGATGGAGGAGGCGGGGCCCATCAGCAACCGTGAAGATGGAGGAGGCGGACAGTGGATCAGGGCTGACAGGTAAGAGGGTTTGACCAGCCCACCTGAGACCCTGCAGAGCCCACCATAGACAGTCTATGGTGGGCTCTGCAGGATCACTCTCAGGTGGGCTGTTTTGGTTATCAGGTGGGCGTAACTAGATATCACAGGGCCCCAAAGATTTTCCTTTACTTCCTGGCCTGGAAACACAACAGGGAATGAAAGAAAATATCTCTTAAGTTAAATTCCCATCTTAGAGAGAGATGTCACTGGAACAGGTGTCCCTAATGGAGGATTTGCCCTCACCTATTGCTTTGATGGAATCTTACATTTTTGGATTTTCCCGCTTTCTATTTATGTGTCAATGGTCACATACAAGGTGGAATCTCCCCATTAGGCACAAGCTAGCAATACAAAGTTGACAAAGGTCTAAAGTTTACCTTTACATACCCTTTACCTTTGGCTTTTTTTGCTGCATGATTGCTCAGGAATATTGCATACACAGGTTCAGGATCCTGCTTTGCAGTGCTGGACAATGATTGTGCTTTACTGCTCCATCTCACAAAGAAAGTATATGTGCTGACTCATTGAAAGCAATGCAATACCTCTGTAGCTATCTCAACAACTGTAAAAGGAGAATTATGGGAAGAGTGAAATACACTCATCCCCATAATAAGAGCCCACGTGTGACAGCTTCAGGCTCTATTGATTGAGAATTGGGTGATCACATAACGCTGATCGCTCAATTCCCGATCTTCTCCCTGCAGAGTCACTGCTCCCCACAGGGATTCCCCCCTCCCCTCTTTGTTCCTTCCATGCTGACTGGAGGAACGGACAAGCGAAGGGGCGGGCACCGCTGGTTTTGGCTCTAGAGAGGTAGAGCCAGCTGTCAATGTGGTAGCAGGGTGGATCCCGACAATATTGTCGGGATCAGTCCCTGCTGCAGCTCGGCTCAGTGCTGTCAGCATATAGCGGGTAATAGCCTCTATATGCTGAGTTTTGGGTCACAGGAGGACATGTAAATGTCCTCCTATGACCCTAATGAGAACTATGGCAAAAAAGGTTGGCCCATAGTTCTCTTTTAAGAGAAAGACAGGATACTTGCACTGAGCCCCTGAGATCTCCCTCTAATGGCGTATCTACAAATATTTATATATAATAAAATAACAAAAATATGGAAGGGCAAAGTTCAAACTTAATAACCACTAATATCCACTCATTAAAAAATATTATATATCTACTTACGAAAAATACCCTAAATCTTCCTTTCAGTATTTCAACAGTTGGTACACATTGTCAAAAAAATATTTCTCCAGAGAAACAGAAATGTACAGTGTGTGTTAACTACTGAAATGATTATATCTATATGAAAAGCTCTTGTTTTTTTAACATAAACTAAGTTGTGATGAAGGATTACCATCTTTACATTCTAATGCAATAGGTATGAATGGCAGTATATATCTGAATAGTGAAGGGTGTGGTGGACTGAGCTGGGGACATACTGATAGAAGACAAAGGGTTATATGTGTGGTGTTCTGTCTCTGCACGCTCTCACCTTCTGCTATTTTAAGCAAACTAAGCAAAATGTTATCGTTCTGCCACCTATGCCATATAATAATCACAAGAGCTAGGATCAGGTTAACCATAAGACAGCGCAGCATTTTACTAATGGGTGTATTGTGAATTTAGGATTAGCAAATCAGATTAGGTCAACTCTTTAAACTGAAAACAGCAGCTCTTTTTGAGCATCAACCATATTAGCGATAATAACATCTTCATTTTTTTTTTTACATAAATCTAAAACTGAATATTTTTTTTAAAAATAGATAAACATATACTGTGTGTATATATACACAATGGGAAATTGTTATCCAATGTTTACCATAATTTTCCTTTCCTGACTCATCCTCATGTTAACATACTATGGGTCATCTATGCCTCCATGATCCCTCAAGACCACCGCAAGCAAAAAGCGACATACCCCACCAACAACTGTTCCCTAACAAGCTAACGAAAGGCCACCAGGGAGGGAACGTATGCTGACATGAGGATGAACCAGGAAAGGGAAATTACGGCAAGTATTGGATAACAACTTTCCATAATTCTGGTGCTTGTCAGCATACTTTGGGACGTAACAAGCTAACCCAAAAGGAAAGGGGAAAAAGAAACAACATCAGAAGTGGCCTGGAGTGAGGACAAAAGAACAGATGTTGTGGAGACGATCCAAAGTATGCAGACATGAGGATGAACCAGGAAAGGAAAATTATGGTAAGTATTGGATAACAATTTTCCATATTCCTGACTCACCGGATGTCAGCATACTACGTTACGTCCCCTCCAAAAAAGGAGGGGACGAAATAAACATAACAGTTGTTGCTGGGGTATGTCACCTTGTTATCTTTCTTTCTAGGGGTGGTCCAGAGGGGTCATATATGTGTGTGTGTGTGTGTGTGTGTGTGTGTGTGTTGATTGATTGAGTGATTTAAGTGAAGAAAGATTTCATCAATGACAAGTAAATTAGGTTGTATAAAAATTATATAAAGCCAAACGTCATGACATAAAACTGCCTTACAACCCAATAACAAAAGGGATAAAACCTATAAAATAAATGACTCTATAAAGACATAACAAATACATACATAAGAATCGATTCACAAAGATTTAACACAAGAATAAGTATCTTAATTTCTCCCCATGTGACTGCAATTTTCAAATCTCATTGGACTTTTTTTTTAAAACAAGTATCCTTATCCTGTGTGGTAGCTTTGTAAACTGAGCGGCTGGAAACATAAACTAGGCAGCGCATTAGAGATGCTCAAAGCACAATGCCGTTGTTTGGGCTACATTGAAAATGAAAATATCCATCACATCCAAACAAAAGGAAAATACATTTATTTAAAAATGAAATCAATCAATAAATATATCATAGGACATTCAAGATAAAAAACATAAATGAGAATATAATGAAATCCCAATGGTGTAAAGTCATAGAAGGCAAAGGGACCCTACAAGGATCAAACTATAAGATAACAATGCAGTATAAATGTAAGGTAAGGGTAAAAGTCAAAATTACATAGATTGATATTGAGAGAAAAATTAAATTGACGCAAATCAGTCGTGTTGCTAGAGCAAAGTTACCCGGATACTAATAACAGTGACACACAGAAATCAGCAGATGTGGGACAGATGCAGGACATGCATGATGACATAGATGTTGAGCTATAAGCTGACTATTAGACGAGTAGCAGAAGGGAGAGAAAGTAGTATCGGAATCCGGGGTGATTCACACATCTCTCCACCCTATAACTGCTGGGTAGCATGTTTTGGGATAGACATAAAACCAGAGCCATAAACAGACGCACCCATGGGTGTCAGCTCCCTGTGAGTCTCTCACACCCTAGTGAGGCATGCGTCGTCAGGCTCATCCTAATTCACAAGCCAAACCAAGAGCTACCTATCTCCT